TGGGGTAGAGCTCAAGCAAGTCACTGCTTTAACTCTGCCATCTTGGCTCTGCCTCCTAGTGCTTACATTTTAATAGAAGAAACAAATGTCCTTTCAGAACTCTAAGGTCTTCAAAGTTATTAAAGAAGTAATATAAGACAAACAGAAGGCTTGGGAGCGGTTTTGCTCAATTTTTATCATCTTTAGAAAAGAAAGAAAAGAGAGGGGGGAAAGAATGTGTCAGGGAAGAAAGGGGAAGTAGCAAGCTTATGATCTTACAAAAGTATGGTCCATGCAAAGAAGTGAAGAGTACATAAATATGAATGAAGCAGTAGAGGTAATAAGTATCACATGAACCTGACTTTCATTTGAAACAAAGGTGGCTTAAACATAACACACATAAAGAATTTAGTATAAAAACACAATAAAATCAATAGATGGGAATAAGAAATAGAAATAACTGAGAAAGATTTAAGAGAAAAATAGAATTAGAGATGAAAGTCACAAGCAAGACAAGCTTCAGCTTCAGAAGATGGATTGTGAAAAGGGGTAATTAAAAAGGAAGGAAGGAGAAAGGAGGAACAAGAAAGCAAAGAAAAATAAAGTAAAGAGAAAACAAGAAAAATTAAAAACCTGTAACCAGAGATGGGATAAGGGGAAGAGAAGTAGGTAGTAAAGTAGAAACAAATCATTGTAATTGTAGTGTCAAGAACTCACTTATTGGGAGGATGGAATAGTTTACTTGTCAGATCTATGGATAAAGGAAAAATTTAGGACTGAACAGAAGAAAAAGAGCATTAAAGGATGTAAATTGAATGATTTTGATTACATTAAATTAAAAAGGTTTTGCAAAAAACAAAACCAATGCAGTCAAGATTAGAAGGAAAGAAGAAAACTGGGAGAAAATTCTTTTAACAAATTTCTCTGAAAAAGGCCTCATTTCTCAAATATATAGAGTACTGAGTCAAATTTATAAGAATACAAATCATTCCCCAATTGATAATGGTCAAAGGACATGAACAAGCAGTTTTCAGAAGAAGAAATCAAAGCTATCTATATCATATGAAAAAATGCTTTAAACCACCATTGATTAGAGAAATGTAAATTAAACTCTGAGGCACCACTTAACACCTATCACATTGGCTAATATGAAAGAAAAGGAAAATGACTTATGTTGGAGGGGATATATCGGAAAACTGAGACACTAATGCACTGTTGGTGGGGTTGTGAACTGATCCAACCGTTCTGGAGAGTGACTTACAATTATGCCCAAAAGCTACAAAACTGCACATACATTTTAACCCAGCAATATCACTAAGTAGGTCTGCATCCCAAAGAAATTTTTGAAAAGGGAAAGAACTTACAAGTACAAAAAATATTTATAGCAGCTCTTTTTGTAGTGTCAAAGAACTGGAAATCAAAGGAATGTCCATCAATTGGGGAATGGCTGAACAATTTGTGGTATATAATTGTGATGGAATACTATTATGCTATAAGAAATGATGAGCAGGGTGCTTTCAGAAAAACTTGGAAAGACTAATATGAACTGATACAAAATGAAGTTAGAAGAACCAGGAGAACATTGTACACAGTTACAGTAATATTGTACGATGATCAAATGTGAGTGATTTAGCTATTCCCAGCAATACAAAGATCTAAGACAATTCTGAAGGACCTGTGATGAAAAATGTTATGCAGTTCCAGAGAAAGAACTAATGGAATCTGAATGCAGATAAATCATATTGTTATTCTACTTTATTTATTTTTCTTAATTGGTTTTTGTCCATTTCTTTAACAACATGACTAATATGGAAATACATTTTACATAACTGCACGTGTATAACTTTTACCAAATTTTTTGCCTTCTCAATGAGGGAGAGGGGAAGAAGGGTGAGACAGAACTTGGAACTCAATGCTGTAAAAAATGAAGGTCAAAATTTTTTTTACATGTAATTGGGAAAAATAAAATATTAAAAGTTATCTTTAATGATTTCTTATAAAAGAAAAGGATGTAGGGAAATGCACAATTAGTAGTCATAATTGTGTATGGGAATGAATTCACCCACAAAACAGAAGACTACAGAAAAATGGATTCAAAAGCAAAAGCCAACAATATGGTTTTTGCAAGAAACACTCAAAACACAGACTCATAAGGTATAGATAAGGGGTTTAGTGTAAAATCTATTATGATTGAATCAAATTTAAGACAGCAAGGATAACAATCAAGCTCTCAGACAAGGAAACAAGAACAGTAGCCATGTATAAAGAAACAAAAATAGAAACTATTATACCTACAGGAACCATAGATAATAAATCAGTCTCAATACTTAGCATATATATGCTGAATGGCATAGCATCTAAACAACTAATAAAAAACATAATCAAATTAGAAGGAGAAATAGTAAAGGTACATAGTCAAAGACTACAGTCTATTCTTTTCAAATATAGGAAAGTCTAATAAGAGTATAAACAAGAAAGGAGTTAAGGATCTGAATAAAATATTAGAAAAATTAGATATGCTTAAAGAGAGAATAACATACACATTCAATTGGGTATGGAAATCTGTCTTACTCTACAGGAAAATAGAGGAAGAAGGGGACAAGAGAACAGGGGGGTTATAGAGAGGAGGGCAGATTGGGAAAGAGGGTAATCAGAAGCAAATACTTCTGAGGAGGGACAGGGTCAAAAGAAAGAATAGAATAAAGGGGAGGGCAGGATAGGATTCAGGGAAATAGAGTTAGTTTTTCACAACATGTCTACTGTGGAAGTGTTTTGCGTAACTTCACATGTACAACCTATATTGAGTTGCTTGCCTTTTCAATGGGGGTGGGTGGGGAGGGAGGAAGGGAGAAAATTTGGAACTCAAAGTTTTAAAAACACATGTTTTTTAAAAAAGATGTTTTCACATGCAACTGGGAAATAAGAAATACAGGAAATGGGGTACAGAAGTCTATTCTGCTCTACAGGAAAATAGAAGGGGGAGGGGATAAGAGAAGGGAGGGGGGAGAAATAGAAGAGAAGGAAGACCAGGGAAAGGGGTATTCAGAATGCATGCCATCTTGGGGTGGGGGGAGGGGTGAGAAATTTGAAACTCAAAAACTTGTGGAAGTGAATATTTAAAACTAAAAATAAATAAATTTATATGAAAAAAAAACAAACAACAACAATAAAACAAAGACAAAAAACCAAACAAAACAAACAAAGAAAAATCCTGAACTTAGTAGAAGAGCTGACATACAAGAGCCAAGAGAAATATAAGGTACATACCAATGACCAATTACAAGGGACTCAATAAGGATAGAATGTTTACCTTTTATGTATGTAAAATGTAAAACACATGTCTAAGATTGTTATTAGTAATTAGGTACCTTATAAGAAATATTGAGGTAGACCTGAGTATGATATGACTTAAGTAATAAAACCATTCAAGAACAAAAAAAATTAGATATGATAGATCTCTGATGATTATGAATGAGAACAGAAAGGAATATAACATGCTTCTTAGCATGGCAGCTTTACCAAAATTGGCCATTTATTAGGACATAAAACCTCACAAACAAATGGGAAGAATAAGAAGCATTAAATACATGTTTTACTGACCAAACAAGTTAAACTGTATTCAATAAAGTCATTGAGGAAAATACTTAAATTAACTGGAGACTAAATAATTTAATCCTAAAGAATTGGTGAGTCAATGAAAAAAATCATAGAAATAATAGATGTTTCAAAGGAAATCACAACAATGAGACAATATACCCAAACTTCTGGGATACAATTAAAATAGTCCTTATGGGAAAATTTGAGTCTCTAAGTGCTTTCATCAACAAATGAGAAAAATAACAGATCATTTAATCTGGAAACTATTATTTTTAAAAAATATACAAGCAACAAATCAGAAAATCCCAGCTAAATACCAAATGAGAAATTTGAAACATCAAAGACATTAGAAAACTTGAAAACAAAGCCTCAATTAGTTTAATAAATTAAACTAGAAGTTTTAAGTATGTATACATATACGTAAATACATACAATCTGGTTTTAAAAAGAGGACACCAAAATGTCAGTATAGACAATGAAATAGGAAAATTCACGTCAATTGAAGATGAAATAAAGGAAACTATCACATAAAATTTTGCCCAATTATATGACAACAAAACAGATAACTTTTGCAAGAAATGAAAAGAAATAAAGATAATTCTTAGAAACTATTTTTATTCCATTATATATACTAATATCTGAGTATCTGAGAGCTTTGCCTTAAGTGGACCTTAGCTTGCTCAATTCCTTTTTAGTATATTAGAAGGGGGAAATTTAGGTACTATGACTGTTTCCTCATATTCTCCCAGTGTTCCAGGTGTAATGAAAATTAGATGAGGGTAAACTCAATGCATTGTGCAGCAAACACAAGCCTGTCCGAAAGGGCACCATATCTCTCACACTCTCACAAATGTAGCCCATGTGGCATATGTCAAATAGTAAGTTGTAATGTCAGAGTTATAAATTCAAGAGTCTTATGTTTTGCATATATGCTAGAGTACTTAAAGCTATCTTGGTCATATAGGTGGTATTTAGTGAATGCATGCTTATTGATAAATGGATTAATTTAGTATTTAAAAATTAATTCACCAAGATTTCTCTCCACAAGTAATGATAAATACATGGAGTTGGAAAATAAAACAAGTATATATGAATTTCTCTTCCTGGGACACTTTCAGCAGGCAGATCAACAGAGTCTACTATTTTGACTACTGCATAGCATATACCCAGTCACCACAGTTGGAAAATTCTCATTATCATGGCCATTTCCTCTAATTTTCATCTCCACTTGCCCATATATTTCTTCTTAACCAATCTGTCCTTCATTGATGCTTGTTCCATTAACATCACATTATCCAAGATGCTTGTGAAACCCAGTGTTAGATTATCTCTTATTCACTCAATTCTATTTCTACATGGTATTTGTGGATTTGGATGAACTCTTCCTGGTTACAATGACTTATGACTGCTATCTAGCCACTTACCACTTTCTTCATTATGCCACAGCCATGAGACCCCAGCACTGTGTGCTGATACTCAGTGGGTGATGGGCTCTGACCAATTTTCCTTCCCTGTTACATACCCTCCTGCTGTCTCACCTGATCTTCTATACTCAATGTACCATGCCTCATTTCTGCTGTGACTGGTGTCTTGCTAAAGCTGGCCTGCTCAGACACCCACTTCAATGAACTAATAATGATCTTCATTGTTGGGTCAATGTACCTCACCATTCCCCTTGTCATCATCAAACTCTCTTATGCCTCAGCAGTCTTCAATGTTTCATCTACTGGGGAAGATGGAAGGCCTTGCCCAACTGTGGATACCACCTCACCATAGTCTTTCTTTTCTGTAAGTCTACCTTGCGGGGTTTATTTTCTTCATCTGCCCAGAGGGACAGTACAGTTGCTATCATCTACACTGTGATAGTCCCTGTGCTGGATCCATTCAACTGTAGCCTGAGGAACAGGGATATGAAGAGGGCCCTGGGGATGCTTCTTGGCAGTAAAACATTTTTGTCTCTACGACAGGAAAATGTAGACAACTTTCTCTGATTCAACAACTACCTTTTCTTGTGCCAGCAGTTTGGTGTGGGTGCGCAGCATCACATATCTTTGGTTCTGGGGCCCTTTAGATCAGTCATCTTTGGCTGTTATGGGGACAGTGTCTGAGAGCTTTGTCTTGAGTGGACTTTAGCTTCGCCAATCCTTTCTTCACATATTAGAAGGAGGAAATTTGGGTACCATAACTATTTTCTCATCTTCTCCCAGTGTTCCAGATGTAATGGAAATTAGAGGAGGGTAAGCTCAGTGCAACAGATACAAGCCAAAAGGGCATTGTATCTCTCACACTTTCACAAATGTAGCCTATGTCAGATAATAAGTATGCCTCACTTGGCTTAGTTCTCCATCCCAGCTTTGTTAGAAACCTCTAAGATCATAGAAATTCAATTTGCATCAGGATATCAGGCCAGAAAAAATAATGTGTATGAGTCTTTGTTGCTTTTTGTATGTTGCAATATTTGTGTTGGTTGATGATTGCTAAGTTCACAATAAAAGGAATTTGATTTTTAAAAATACTTGTAGGTTTTTGATGTCTTTATAAAGGACATAACCTGAGTCACCTGACTCCCAGACCCAATACCCAAGGATCTTATACCACATCATTTCTTATGCCACAATAATATCGCATTACATTCATATACCATGATTAGTTTATCTACTCCCCAGTAGTGACACCCTCTTAGTTTCCCATTATTTTTGGCTACTATGAAGAGTTGCTATAAATATTTTTTAACATATAGATCTCTTTTTTTCTTTCTGAACTCTTTTGGGTATGATCTTAGTAATGTAACTAGATCAAAGAGTATACACAGTGTAGTAACTTTGAGCAAAACTTTTTAGGTTTATGTAATCTAAATTGACTATTTTATCTTGTATAAACCTAGTACTGTTTAGTCATTAAATTCTTCCTCTACCCATGGATAAGAAAGGTAATTTCCTCTTTGATCCTCAATTTTTTTATGATGTGATCTTTTATATCAGGATAATGTGTCCATTTTGAGCTTATCTTGGCATTTCTTGCGAGATGTTGGGATAAGTCTGATTTCTCTTAGGTCACCTTCCAGTAAATTTTTCCTTCTGTAATTGAGGTCTTTAGGTATATCAAACACTATGCTGCTGTTTTTGTCGGCTTCTGTATATAGTGTACCTAATCTATTCTACTGATTAACCTCTCTAATTAGTATTAAATCACTTTATTTTTAAAAATTAAATTTGATCTTTTCTATGAACAAAAATATATTTTCCTCTACTACCCACCTCCCTACCCATTGAAAAGAAGAAAAAACAAAACTCCTATAATAACTATGAGTAATTAAGTAAAGCAAATTATCACATTGTCCATGTCCAAAAAATATGTGCCTTAATGTACATTCTGAGTCCATTGCTACTGTGTCAGGAGATGGGTATTAAGCTTTTTTATGAGTTAACTGGGAATCAGTTGACCTAGTACATAGGTGGTGCAGTGGATAGAATGCTGGACCTGGAGTCAGAAATTCCTGATTTCAAGTCCAACTTCAAACACTTATTAGTTGTATTATTAGACAAGTAACTCAACCTGTGCTTTGTTTGGTTTTTCCTCATCTATAAAATGGTGATAATAATAGCATCTAATAGCACCTACCTTTCATGATTATTGTGAAGATCAAATGAGATAATAATTGTAAAGCATACAGCACAATGTCTGGTACATTTTAAGTGCTATATAAATGTTGGTTATTATTGTTTTTGTTGGTCACAGCATTAATAAGTTCTTTAGTCTTTCAAAGTTGTTTGCCTTTATAATGTTCTTGCTATTGAGTAAATTATTCTCCTGGATGTGCATACTTCCTTGTTTATCAGTTCTCACAAGTCTTCCTAGATTTCTCTAAAACCATCACTTTCATCAATAGTACAATAGTAGTCCATCAAATTAATGTAACATAATTCATTCATTCAGCCATCTTCCAATTGATGGCCACCTCCTTACTTTCCATTTTTTGCCACCTTATAATGAACTGCTATAAATATCTTTGTACATTTGGCTCTCTCTTCTTTTTCTTTGATCCCTTTAGATTATAAGAGTAATAGTGGTAACACAGGATCAAAGGATATACATAGGTGTAATTTTGGGGCCATAGTTCCAAATTGCTTTCCAGAATGCCATGACAAATTCACAGTTTCGCCAACAGTACATTAGTGTATTTGTTTTTTCATAGATTTTACAGAACTTGTCATTTTCCTTTTTTGTTCACTTTCCCCATCTGAAATAGAACCTTAGAGTTCTGGAAGTGTTTGCAGTGTCAAATAGAACCTCAAAGTTGCAATAATTTGTATTTTTCCAATTATTATTGATTTGGAACTGTACTTTATATGGCTTTTGAAAGCTTGATTTTTTTTCTTCTGAAAACCATCCTTTCACACTCTTTGACTATTTATCAAGTGGGAAATTACTCTTATTCTTATAAATTTGAATCTATTCCCTATGTATCTCAGAAATTAGGCCTTTATCAGATAAACTTGGTACAAATATGTTTTCCCCAGTTACCTGCTTTTCTTCTCATTTTAGCTGCATTGCTTTTGTTTGTGCAAAGACTTTTCAATTTGTTATCGGAATGATACATTTTATCTCTTGTGATTTTTATCTTTGTTTTGATCTTGAACTTTTCCTCTAACTACATCTGAAAAGTAATTTCTCTCTTACTCCACTATTTTGTTCATGATATTACCTTTATAGCTAATTCAAGTATCCACTTAGAGCTTATTTTGGTAAAATGTGTAAGATGATGATCTATATGAAGTTTTGTTTTGTTTTGCTTTTTTTTTGTTGTTGTTTGTTTGTTTGTTTTTGCCTTACTGCTTTGCAGTTTCCCTGCTTCTTTTTAGTTAATAGTGAGTTCTACCCTCCCTCCCAATAGCTGGGATTGGGGGTTTATCAAAGATGAGGCTCCTGTGCTCATTTGTTTGTACATATTATATCCCTGATCTGTTCTATTTATCCACTTCTTTATTTCTTAACTAATACATAATCATTTTAATGATTATTGCTTTATAGCAATAATATAATATAAGCTATATGTAGCAATATGTTTGAGATCTGGAACTGATCTTCCTTTCCATGATTTTTTTCATTATTACTCCTGGAATTCTTGACCCTTTATTACTCCATATGAAATTGTCATTCTCTCTAGCTCTATAAAATATTTCTTTGGTTATTCTGATTGATACAGTATTAAATGAGTAAATTTATTAGGTAGTATTGCCATTTTATTGTTTGGCTTGACCCATGCGCAAATAGTTAATTTTTTATAGCTATTCAAGTTTGTTGGGGTTTTTTTTCTGCAAAGAATGTTTTAGAATTGGATTCAAGTGTGCCTAGATGTACTATGGCAGATACATTCCCAAATATTTTATAGTGCCTATGATTGTTTTAATGAATTTTTAGCACTAATTAATTGATTTTTCATAGTATACAGGAATACTAATTATTTATGTGCATTTATTTTATATTCCACAACTTTGCTGAATTTGTTAATTGTTCTGATTTTTTTTTGGCTGACTTTTTAGGGGTTTCTAAGTAAATCATCATATCATCTGCAAACCTGAGCAATTTTGTTTCTGTTTGTCTGTGCTTATTTGCTTGATTTTTCTTTCTTCCTCTGTTACTATAGATAGCATTTCTAGCATTATGTTAAATAGTAGTAGTGATAATGAAAATCCTAGTTTTATTCTGATTTTATTGGAAAAGCCATAGATATCTTCCTAACAGTAGCATTGTGTCTGATAAATCCAAAGCTCACAACTACTAAGGTAATGACTCATTCTGGAACAGAAGCTAATGAAAAAACTGGAAATCATTCCAGTAGAAATTAGGTTTAGGCCAAGATGCCTCTTAAATTCCAATAAGGTTCAAATTTCTACATGACCTGGGTATATAAGGTCATATCATAAGTAAATTAGAGAAGTAAAGAAGAAATTACATTTTGGATCTATGAATAGGGGAAGGGTTCATGACAAGAGAGATAAAGATTATAAAAAACAAAATTGATTATTTTAATTACATAAAATTTAGAAGGTTTTACATAAACAAAATTAATGTAAAATAGAAAAAATATAAAAATAGAAGAGAAACAGTTAGCTGGGACAAAATCTTTGCAGCTGGTCTCTCTAATAAAAATATAATATCCAAGACATATAAGAAACTGATTCAAATTTATAAGTCTAAGAGCCATTTCCCAATAGATAAATGTTCAAATGATAAGAACAAGTAAGAACTCTGAGTGATCATCAGTCATATGAAAACATATTCAAAGTAACTAATATTTCAACAAATTCAAATTAAAACAACCTTGAAGTTCTTTTTTCATACCTATGAGATTGGTAAATATGATGAAAAAGAAAAACAGCAGGTGTTTGGGCTGTAGGAAGACGGATATACTGGGGTATAGTTGGTGGAGCTGTGACTTAATCTAGCCATTCTGGAAACAACTTTAAAATATACAAAAGAGAACAGAAGGACATCAAAAGGGAAATTCAGATAAGCAATATAGCTTTTAAAATATGTTGTTTATGATACATGTTGAAA